ATTAACAAATTCTATGGATCGTCGTCTTCAAGTAATTTCAAAACAGGGAAAGCACATTCCCTATTAATTTGTTTAAAACTGTGCCTTTGTTTGTATCTGTAATTATTTATTTATTACCTTCTTTTGATCATAAACATTCACGGGCAAAATTAATAAATGTTTTGTTTGCTCAATTCTGGGAATTTTACTAAACCTTTCTAATAATTTGGCACTCTCAAATCACCGTGCTGATAACAAATATGGCGCCAGTTTGTTTACATTGCGCAAATCAGTACGAAAATTTCAGTGATATATATATATATATATATATATATATATATATATATATATATATATATATCACTTAAATAACGTTCAGTATTTATGTCAATATAAATAAAACATAATAAAAATGTAATTTATACATCCCAATTTGCACTACAAATTTACTTGCTTTCCATGAGATCAAATCAAAATTCATCGATAATTGCCTGATTTTTCTTCAAAAAGTGACTATTTTCGATTCCCTAAGAACGATTCTTAGATCTGAAGACGTATTAGGATGGCCAAAGACGCATTCCAAAAACTAGGCAGAATATTACGAGAGAGGAGGATTTCTTTGAGAACAAAGAAAAGAGTACTGAACTTATTACGCGACATCTGTCCTCCTTTACAGCAACGAATATTGGACGGTCTCTCTGTTACGGTACGGTGAACTATCTACATTAGAAAGAACTCTTCTTCCTTCATAAATGCTAACCTGCGAGACTTCCTAGGTGAAGCAGTTGGAACGCACTGTAACCTGATAGTTCGGACGGACACTTCTATCTGCTGACTAATAACACTCTTATTTTGTATATGTGTTCTGTTATCCCAATACACTTGTTCAACCTACCTTCTTCAATCCGTGTCTTTCTTTTTGGCCCCTAACAGGGCACAACATTCCCCAAAGATGAAGAAGAGACTCCAGGAAACGGAGGTATGGTTCTACAGAAGGATGCTGAGGATATCCTGGACCAAGCATGTGAGCAACGATGAGGTCTTAGAATGGATGCAAACAAGAAGGAAGCTTATACTTAACATCAGGAAGAGGCAGCTGAAATTTCCGGGACACATAATGAGGGCTTGGAGAATCTGATACTCACAGGTCGAATAGAGGGAAAGAAAGACGAGGCAAAGCAACGCATGACATACCAAGCGGGCTTAAGCAAGTAGATGACCCAACATGGCCTGGGAGAAGCAGCAAAAGGAGAAAATTTATTGAGAGAAACAAGGGATATGGGGAAGTGGGGAGCTGTTAATCCTAAAAACAGGTTGGCTGTTAATCCTAAAAACTATGGCAAATTCGTTTGGTTTGGTTTGGTTTATTTTGTTTTACGACATATCAATACTTCAATGGGTTATTTAATGCCGACTACCTTTTTTAGGATAGATTCGTATAATTAGAATATGTATTCTTTGGTTTAGATTGGTTTGGTTTATTTTGTTTTACGGCATATCAACCCCAATGGGTTATTTAATGCCGACAACATTTTTAGCATAGATTCGTATGAATAGAATATGAATTCTTTGGTTCAGATTGGTTTGGTTTATTTTGTTTTATGGCATATCAACCTCAATGGGTTATTTAATGCCGACTACATTTTTAGGATAGATTCGTATGACTAGAATATCTATTCTTTAGTTTAGATTGGTTTGGTTTATTTTGTTTTACGGTATATCAACCTCAATGGGTTATTTAATGCCAACAACATTTTTAGGATAGATTCGTATAAATAGAATATGTATTCTTTGGTTTAGATTGAGTTGGTTTATTTTGTTTTACGGCATATCAACCTCAATGGGTTATTTAATGCCGACAACATTTTTAGCATAGATTCGTATGAATAGAATATGAATTCTTTGGTTCAGATTGGTTTGGTTTATTTTGTTTTATGGCATATCAACCTCAATGGGTTATTTAATGCCGACTACATTTTTAGGATAGATTCGTATGACTAGAATATGTATTCTTTAGTTTAGATTGGTTTGGTTTATTTTGTTTTACGGTATATCAACCTCAATGGGTTATTTAATGCCGACAACATTTTTAGGATAGATTCATATGAATAGAATATGTATTCTTTGGTTTAGATTGGTTTGGTTTATTTTATTTTACGGCATATCAACCTCAATGGGTTATTTAATGCCGACAACATTTTTTATTGCTGGTACTATATTTCCTTCAAAATTGTTTTGCTAGCAATAATTTGTTTCAAAAAGTTTTACTGGTAATAGTTTACTATTTCCCCATAGCTGGAACTCTAATAGGTGCTACCACCCCGGGTCAGGGCTGACCTGGGAACACCAGCAATTAAGAGGTGGTTCCACGCTCCTCAAAACCTCCTGAGCAGAGGTCTTGCTGAACGTAATTTAACGTCTTACCCAGGACTGGCAAATTGGTGATCTGTGCGTAATTTACGTAGAATTTAGTTAAGATATAGTAACGTCGACCACATATAGCTTCCAGTATGGGGAGATATCATGGGCTTCTATGTTTCATACGCTTATTAATACAATTATTTGTTTCAGACCTAATGTAAATGAAGGGATTTTTTAAAGACGTTATTGAACATAACTTCTTGAGAGTTTAATCCAGTTTAGCAAAACAATAACGGTTATAAGATTTAAGCGTTTTTAGATTGATTTTTCTGTTTATTCTGACTTTGCTTGGCTTAGTCGCAAACTATCTTGCAAGATTAACCAATCAGAATACGCCTTATATCCACCGTTTTTGAAAAACATAAGGTATGCTGAAATCAACAAGAGTACCAGTTCATACTAGAACGAATGTATACCTTATACACATGCTTCCAGTTGTTTTATACAAACTTTCAGTTCAAATTGAAACATTCCCAAACCATATGACGTGTATCATTACAGATCAAATTCTGACAGAGTGAAAAGAAAACCTTTTAGAAATTCAACGAGTGTGCCTTCACTCTTCGACACAATCTGAGGCAAATCCTTGAAATTATTATAACAAATGAAAAAAAAACAATTAGTGCAGGGCGCATTAAATTGTGTCGTGGTGGTATGGTGCCTGGGGAAAAAAAGTAGAAAAAACAATGACAAAGGTGGACATATGGCAACCTTCTGCAGCCACTAACAGGCGACAGACACCAAATACACCTTCCTAAATGTCGGAATAAAGGACGGGAAATAAATCGTTAGTACGCACTTTACCGGCGGAAAAATCCACAAATTAAGAAATAGTTATTTCATTTTTCTGCCATTTTTTCCAATTTACCTACAAATGTCGACCTTGGTAAGACGATAAACTAAATCCGGGTCCTGGATAAGACGATAAATTACGTCCAACAGCAAGGCTTCTAATCAGGAGGTTTTGAGATGCGTGGAACCACCTGTTAATTGCTGGTGCTCCCACGTCCACCTGACTCGGAGTGGTAGTACCTGTCATGGTCACAGCTATAGGCAAATAGTTAACCTCCAGAGTGGGGTCAAAACACTATGAAAGTGAAAAATACGTTTTAATACAACAATACTTTTTTGCAGAAAAAATATTATCACAAAACATTATTACCAGCAATACATTTCTGAAGAAAAAATATTACCAGCAATACATTTTTGTAAATAATTATTACCATCAATACATTATTGCCAGCAATACTTTTTTTATGAAAAAAAATATTACCAGCAATACATTTTTGAAGGAAAAATATTACCAGCAATACGTTTTTGTAAATAATTATTACCAGCAAAACATTTTTCAGGATAAAATATTACCAGCAATACGTTTTTGTAAATAATTATTACCAGCAATACATTTTTGAGGAAAAAATATTACCAGCAAAACATTTTTGTAAATAATTATTACCAGCAATACATTATTACCAGGAATACATTATTACCAGCAATACATTTTTGAGGAAAAAATAATACCAGCACTACATTTTTGAAGGAAAATATATTACCAGCAATACATTTTTGTAAATAATTATTACCAGCAATACATTATTAATATAATTTTTACCAGCAATACATTATTACCAGCAATACATTTTTGAGGAAAAAAATATTGCCATCAGTGTATTTTTGAAGAAAAATTATTGCCAGAAATACATATTTGAAGTAAAAATATTACCAGCCATACATTTTTGAAGGAAAAATATTTCCAGCAATACGTTTTTGTCAATAATTATTACCAACAAAACATTTTTAGGAAAAAAATATTAGCAGCAATACATTTTTTAAAAAATAATATTACTAGCAATAAAAATCTTGTCGGCATTAAATAATCCATTGAGATTGATAAGCCGTAAAACACAACAGACCAAACCAAACCTAAGTAAAGTACTCGAATCTGTCAACATAATAAAAAGAAATCCCATCACCATCAACAACAACACTTTCTTCAATATAGGCGATTATGTCTCTCCACAACTTCTTATCCTTATTACAAAAATAAACTAGTAGGACTAGATAAGTTCGACTATTGCTCAGTCTACAGTCCTCAACCTTGTTTCCTGTTTAGAACTAGATTTCCGGTTCCTTCTAAAGCCTACAAGAACGCTATACTACTAACGCTTGTCCTTTCTTACACTAATACGACTCGACACACTAACCCTACTTAAGTTGGCTTTTGGTCCTTGTATTAGGTTAACATTAGTAAGAAAAAAAATCTACTTAAAAATAGTTAAGTGAAACGCTACTTCAAGCCTTTGCGCCGATTCTCCGAAAAAAAAATATTGCTCATTTCTCCGGTATTATTTGCGTGCCGTCACGTGACACGAGTGACGTCAGCTTATAACCAATTTATTCAGCCAATCAGCACTCATTTCCTCGTCTCAACGAGATAATCTTTCTGACGCACGTGCCCAGGTCTCCTCAGTACGGGCAAAAGGAGCGACAAAAGTGTTCTAGCTGAAGAGGAGAGCGACGGCGTTTGTAATCAAATGAATCCAAAGTCAGATTGTACTCGGATAAAAGACGTTAAAAGCCGACGAGGCAGGCTCTGCAGCTTAATAAGATAAGGCGAGTGAGACAAGAAAGACAGCCTCCGTCTTCCTTCCAGTGTTGCCCTCCTTCCCTGGTGGGCATCTGCCGTTTGAAAAGACGACGAAGAGAAATCGTTTATCTCAATCGCCGGTTAAGCAAAAGCCGGATCGATGCTGCCGATAAGATCGGTTGTCGATTAGGAAAATCTAATTGACACACATACGGATCGATAACTCCAAGTTATTATTATTTTTATTATTATTATTCACTTTCCTTGTAGCAGAGACAGAAAAAAATCAAATGAGGAATTGTAGTAGTTGTTTAAACCATCCCCTCTTTTCCAACTTTACACATAATCGCTTCAACCGTCATTAGTAAGAGTAACAATATTAAAAGTATATCTTCCAACCGTTCTATATTATATTTTTATTACTATTGCTATACTAAGCACGGTGGAGTAATGGATAGCGGATCGGAGTAAGGAACCGGAGATCCGAGTTCGAATTCCTTTCGAAACCATTACATTCACTTAAGTGCTAATACGCTTGGGAAAGGTATGAATCCTCTTCTTCCCCCCCCCTTGGATGACAACTAATCTACCTCAGAAAAAAATGGCAACCCCCTGCGGGGGAAATCGAAAGATACATGATCGCCTAAGCGTTTATCACGCATGGCACATAACTGATACTAAACAATCAGAAGTAAATGGTGGTTTAATCTCGAGATCAAGTGACAGAAGACTCCTCAAGGTTTCATTATTCCTCTTAGCATCGATTTTTTTTTTCATTATTGACCTTTATTTAATGTTCTTCCAGCTTTTCCGCAAGATTCAGACATTTTTTCGCAAGACAAAACTTTTGAACTGTTCCCAGCGCTCCGATAATGGTTGGCATGGCTGCTATCTTTATGTCCCATGCTTTCCACAAGTTTATATTGTGGTCACCCGGAACAACGAAATCATTATCTGGCAAGTTCTCTTCTCGTTTTCGACTAACGGATTCAGGCCTGGAATGGGTAATCCATTTGAATCTCGAAGAAACAAATGATTTTTATATTTTATTCATTGGCATGACCTATAGTCTATGGGCCTGTATAATCAAAAAACTCTTTGAAACAATTTCAGACCTAATGTGATTGGGGGATTTTTTAGCAATTTATTTAGCATATTCGATTGAACGTTTATTGGTAAAACTATACAGCAGAGTCCGGATATGAGGGGTTATATTTAGATTAAAATAAAAGAACTGGAATCAGGTTTAACATTTATTTTCAATGTTTTATAATAAACAAAATACGCTAATGGTGAGTGAAATATAACGGAATTGATTTTAAGGAAAAAGAAATAAATTATGTAATGTTAATGATAATTCATTAAATTAAGTCTGCCACGTATGCAAACAAATAATGTAAAAAGGATTTTTTAATCGCTGTTGCATGATGATTCTTTCTCTTCTAATGTCATTCTCAACTTTTTCCGCATTTCCTTTTGCAATAACGCACGCAGAGTTAAAAAGTATCTTTCGCTTAAAAAATTTCAAGAACAAATCTTGAAATTTTTTAAACGAAAGATTCTTTTTAACTCTGCATGCGTTATTGCAATCGTCATAGCTGAATGCTGGCTTTCTTTCCATAAAACTGACAACCTTTTCAATAACTTCTTCAATTTCAGTCCAAGTTTCATCACAATCATGTTCTTTATTTCCTTGTTCATTGTGACAGTGTGAACGCTGGAGAATAGTTTCTTTGGAAGATTTTCTATCATACAATGTTGATTTTCCTCTGTTGAACTCAGCCATTAGTTACAATGAACTTTCACCAGCTTCTAGTCGGTTTAAAATTCCCACATTTTGCGATAACTCCAAAATTGTTCTTTGCCTCTTATTCCCATCATTTTTTTGGACCAATACAAGCCGTTTGGGTGAACAGCATCAGCAATTATCCAAAGTAAAATTCCTGAAAAACAGAAATTTCAGATCAGTTACATATCACCCAAATAGTTGAAATATACACATCAAAATCATGTCTGGATATGAGGGATTCCGGATATGAGGGATTCCGAATATGAGGGATTCCGAATATGAGGGATTCTATTGTATTTTAAAGGCTTCTTTATAGCGTATTCTTATGTGAGTTCTTAAAAAAAAATTATTAATAACAAAAAGGAATTTTAAAAAGTGTTAACTATTTTTCTATACCATTTGACACCTTTCTTCCCTTTCGCCATCAGTGGGTGTTATTTTGAGTGAATTATCATTAAAAATCATCCATTTGTGGTGTCATTATATATTGATGGTAATTGGTTCTCTGTTGATGCCATAAATATTTGTTGGGAGAAGAATGAGCTGGAAAAAAAGATGAACATTCTCTACGAAGCGTTTCAAGAAATACGACTGAATATAAAGCTTTCCAAAATAGAAACTATGATCTGAATTTGGAAAGTAGCGATACCCTGAATCCATCATAAAGATTCATTATCTATAATTAGTAAATACAAAACATTTCAAATACCTCAGTGTATGGATCAGTTATAACAAATTTATTCAAGTAGATAAGGAAATTGAACATAAATGTGGCTGTGCTATGGATAGTCTCGCTCAATACAACGATGTCTTACAAAACCAAAACATTAAACTTAAAACAGGTTTAAACTTCTTAATTAGCCTCGTCAGATCAAGATTTTTATGTGGATATCATTTATGGCAAAAAAACTTGTTCATCCCTCACTTATTTTTTATGTCCAAAGACAGAAACATAACTGAGAGATTAAATGTAGTTTGTCTGCCCGAAGGCAGATACTACCGCTTGATCCAACGACAGCGATCTAGAATTAGGTTTTCCAAGTGATTTTGCATGATGTTAGCCTTCTTCCGTGTGTTCTTGATGCAATCATTATACCTCAAAAGTAGATAGATAGATAGATAGATAGATAGATAGATAGATAGATAAATAAATAGATAGATAGATAGATAGATAGATTTTCTGAATCAATTATGACAAATTTAGAATAGACGATAAGGAAATTGAATATAAATTAGGCTACACTAGGGATAATCTCACCCAATACAACGATGTGTTACAAAACTAAAATGTTAACCTTAAAACATATTTAATCTTCTTAATTAGCCTCATCAGATCAAGGTTTTTATGTTGGTGTCATGTATGGCAAAAAAACGTGTTTATCCCTCAATTATTTTTTATGTTCTGTCCAAAGACAAAAACAGAATTGAGAGATTAAAAGTAGTTTGTCTGTCCACAGGCAGATACAACCCTTTGATCTAACGTCAGCGATCTACAGCTAGGTTTTCCAAGTCATTTTACGTGATGTTGGCCTTCTTCAGTGTGTTTCTGATGCAATCATTATACCTCAAAAGTAATTAGATAGATAGACAGTCAGAGAGATACAGTTTCTGATCATAAATCTAACATTAAAAGTATTGATAAGAAATTATCAAGGGGAAATTAGGGTTTATTATGCAATCAATGTTTCCATAATCCCCTAAACTATTTTATCTCTTCCAAGACTATATTCTGCATAAATACAAGCACAGATGTGAAGAGATGGGCAATGATCATTTAAACATTCCATACCATATCCCAAATGAATCTACTAAAAAAACAATATTCCTGATTTCCCTTCCAAGGCCAATGTATTGATGATGAGAATGTGATTCTAATGACGTATGTATTCATAGTTGGAATAAGGATTGTTCTTGGTAAAAAATTAACATTAAAGAAATGTTACTCATGATAAACCTTTCCAAAACATAAACCATTATCTAGAATTAGAATGAAAGCAGTTATAGTATCAATTCTAAGTCCATCCTAAAAATTCAGCATGTGGAATTGGTAAATACACAACCCTTAAAATATCTCAGCGTATGAATCAGTGTTTAAATAAGGTTAAATAAGTCTCTATTGCTACGACGTCACTGGTACAAATTAAGATACCGCTGGTTCAATTCGCCGTTCTTTCTTTCTGAACACTTCACAATGTATATTCGTCTTTCGTTCTGCCCTTTTTCACTGCGCCAGCTCTCTTTTATCAGGCCAACACCGCGGTCAACCAACCAATCAGCGTTTTTATTCTCAGTTACCCAGGCAAATAGCCTCCTCCAGTTTGGCCTATCAGCACACGACTTGCTATTGGTGGAAGCATACCAAACTATAATAAAACCCTCGTTACCACACATACTGCTGGAACTACGAGACGGGAGAGTAATGCCATTTTCACGGGAAAAAAACTTGCCGATGTTAAGGTAAGGCCCTTATTTTTGTATGCACCACATGCAAGCCACTCTGCCACGCTTGCTTCTATGGGGCTGTTCACCACAATCAGTTATGTCAAATTTAGTATAGATGATAAGAAAACTGAACATAAATTAGGCTGCACTAGGGATAGTCTCGCCCAATGCAACTAAGTGTTGCAAAACGAAAACATTAACCTTAAAACATGTTTAACCTTCTTAATTAGCCTCGTCGGAACGAGACTTCCATATGAATGTCATGAATAGCCAAATAAAAACTCGTCCAGGAATATATTTCTCAGCTCAATCGTTAAAAATGGCTTTGGGTGAATGAAGCGTGTAGGTCTCAGTGTGAACTATTTTTTTTTCGAACAACATGGACTTTCGTTACGGAATCACAATCAAAAAAATATACCAAATAACCAAATAACCATACCGCTTGAGGACTTTTAGCAGTAGTAACCTGCAAAATGCATATCACATGTAAATTTTAACCGAAGGAAGAACTGGTTGCTCGTTCGTGCTTCCTTATAAGGAAAAGGCTAATTTTCACATTACCATTCTTTTCAGGAAATGTACCATTCCCAGATTTTTCGATCCCAAACTGGATTTGCTGTTAAGGCCATGATTATTGGTAACCATAACGACGACGACGACGTTTTCATTAATAACTGTAATGTTTCCATTTTATCCTTTCTTGCGAGAAGTGATTTATTCGTGTACCACTTGAAGCGAAGAGGCTATATATGCAACGATTGAACTGTAAGTTTTATAGTTTTTCAATAATGAATCATTTGGATCTAATAAAAATTTAATTATTGATAACACTGGTCAACAAAAAATTTTTGAAATGATGTCGAGACACCAAACATCTTTTTTAGCTAATTTGAGGGTGCTGAAACTTTTTTCTTGGTTAGTTTTTCTTTTTCTTTTTTATTTTTTTTGTACAGAAATGTCTCATTTCCAGAAAAAAACATATTTTTATTTGTTTTCTGTATATATGGCATTAACTGATGGCAATATTTTCCAAAATAATATCGTAGGAACCTCTCAATTCGTATTTAAAACCAACAAACATTCGTCTGCTTATTGAGAAATACTATTTTTGCAATAACAGTCGGACCTTAATTCTTTAAAAAATAACACGATTGAATATACCAAGACCAACAAGTATTTTCATCAAATCATTTAATAAACTAACAGCATAAATAAAACCTTCGGGAACATAAGAACTATCGTAAAAATGTTTCTTGAGTGTCATATTCAATGTTATTTAAGTCCCTTTTGATACTCCAGCAATATCATGTACAATGGAATAGGTGCATTCAATTAGGATGTCTTTAGTTGGAGTTTCTTTCCAACTGTGAAAACAAAATGCTCCCAGTGTGCTAGGTTTCCTTCCGGAGTGAAGAGATAAATTTATGAATATGAAACAGAAGATTTTAGGGTTTCATTCTTTTTATATCACCTTAATTATAAAAATTTACTAAAGTGGATTAATGATAAAGTTTATCAGTTAATTTGAATTTTGACGATAAATTGGAAAAATTCGGTACTTCTATTTTAAAAGTTTTGACTCAAATACACTTTTTTTCTTATAAAAATAGTTTACTTCAGGTTGGCTGACATAAATTGCTCGGCCTGCCTGAAAATTGATGGCTTTCTACGACCTTTATTAACTAAATTTTGCGTTCAGCCAAAATCGGAAATTGATCTTTCTTCTAAAAATGAGCAATTTCAGTACAGCAAAAATGGTAGCAAACCATGAAAAACTAAGCTCACATCACGTTGTAAAACCGATTCCCGTGCCCAGATGGATGACCGCTTGGGAATACTAGATGGATGTACGGGTGGTACTATGGGAATTGCCTAATGGCTTGAGATTGTTAATCGGAGAACTGAGTTCAATTCCTGCTGGGTTCGTTATATTCACTTGAGCGCAAATACCCTTAGAAAGTTTTGAATGCACCTGTTCTCCACCAGCTATGGCTTAATTAGTAAGACTTTATCACTAAACCATTATTATCTCAAAAATAATCCTTTCAATCTAAAAATATATTCTGGCTTTATATATTTCTGCCGACGATTGATAAGCCGTAGAAAACGAATCAATCAATCTATATTATTATTGTTATTATTATTTTTGTTGTTTGTTTGCTGATGGTGTTCTTGTGTGAAACAGCAGTACGCCAAACAAAGTGAGGCTGTGGTATACTTACATGAAACATGACAACCAGTTTGTTAAGTGTATACTGGGCACATACATCACAGCCAAATGTTCACGATACAGTGAGAGGATTTGATAAACCTTGCTGGTGGGGCCTAGTTATAAATAACTTCATGCCAAACTGGTCAGACCGTCTCCGATTGTGGGTGTTCCTAAGAATCTAGATGTATCACCCAAGCTGGCTGCCTAGTCCTTCAAACTTAAATAATACCCCGGTTACCTGGATATGATACTCGACCAATAATCCCGCACGGGAAGACAGTGCGCTAAACACTAAAAGTATACGTCCTGGGTATGACGATAAACTACATCCGCGTCCATGGGTATGACGATAAACTTCAACCGCATCCATGAGTATGACGGTAAACTGCATCCGCGTCCTGGGTATGACGATAAACTTCATCCACGTCCATGGGTATGACGATATATTACATCCCGGTCCATGGGTATGACGATAAACTACATCCACGTCCTGGGTGTGATGTTGAAATACGTTCAACAGAAAGACTGTTTTTGAAAAAATAACCTTGCCGGCGATACGTTTTTGAAAAAATAATATTACCTGCTATACGTTTTTGATTAATATTGCCAGCTATATGTTTAAAAAAATATATTCCCAGCTATATGGTTTTTTTTTTTTTAAATAATATTACCAGCTATATGTTTTTAGAAAAATAAGCAATATATATTTGAAAAAAAGAAGAAAAATTTATATTACCAGCTGAACATTTTTGAAAAAAGAAAAATATTACCAGTGATACATATTTGAATCAAAATCATTACCAGAAATAGGTTTTTTGAAGGAAATTTTTTTACCAGAAATAGATTTAAAAAAAAATAATATTACCAGCAATAAAAATATCGTCAGGATTAAATGACCCATTGAGGTTGATATGCCGTAAAACCAAAATAAACCAAACTAAAAGTATGTTTAACTGGTATTTGGGGATTTTGTAAGCGTAGCTCAGACGTGGCATAAAGCCGAAAGTACGAGGCACCCAGTGCGGATTGAACTCACTTCTCAGTAGAAATTGATCTAACAAGACAAACTTGTTAACCATTACACCACGTCAAAATGTCCATGTCTAACTTCTTATGGTCAGGGAATTGAAATTATAGCAGGTGCTCATATAGTTGGAATTCAAATTAAACGAGGAGTATTTCAAGATGATATTCAGTTTTCGTTTTCTGTGTGTCACTGCACTCAATCCTATTTTCTCCTTAGCTATGATTAATTAATGATGAACATGTAATTTTCGTCGTTCATGATCGATTTCATCACAATTCTTCTGTTAAGCTTTATTACACAATGTTGAGCATTAGAAAAAGAATTCCAGCAAGATATCTTTAATCATTTCTAAGATACAACGGTTCAAAGCATAATCTAACAAATGAACAATTTTGCTTTTACACGTTTAGGACAATTTTACTGTTACATCTGGTATATACGCGCATACACACGCACACACACACACACACATATATATATATATATATATATATATATA